CCCCTCCTCCTCTTTCTCTCCTTTCCATCCTCCTCTCCTTACCTCTTTCTTTCCACCCTCTCTCCCTTCTCTACTTTCTTCCTTCCTCCTCTCCTTCCCCTTCCTTCTTCCTGTACCTTTCTCCTACTCCTGTTCTTCCTCTTCCCCTTCCTACCCTCTCTCCTCCACTTTCTCTCCTTTCCATCCTCCTCTCCTTACCTCTTTCTTTTCACCCTCTCTCCCTTCTCTACTTTCCTCCTTCCTCCTCTCCTTCCCCTTCCTTCTTCCTGTACCTTTCTCCTACTCCTGTTCTTCCTCTTCCCCTTCCTACCCTCTCTCCTCCACTTTCTCTCCTTTCCATCCTCCTCTCCTTACCTCTTTCTTTTCACCCTCTCTCCCTTCTCTACTTCCTTCCTTCCTTCCTCCTCTCCTTCCCCTTCCTTCTTCCCGTTCCTTTCTCCTACTCCTGCTCTTCCTTTCTCCTACTCCTGTTCTTCCTCTTCCCCTTCCTACCCTCTCTCCTCCACTTTCTCTCCTTTCCATCCTCCTCTCCTTACCTCTTTCTTTTCACCCTCTCTCCCTTCTCTACTTCCTTCCTTCCTCCTCTCCTTTACACCTGTAACCAAATGACATGCTGTATGTGATGATAGTTTTTTAATGTGTTTTTTTAAATTTATTGTTGTGTGTATGTGTTGTCTATGTAATAAAAATAATTTTTTTTTAAAAAAAAGAAAAGCAAGCAAATGCATTCTTTGTTTGCATCATCCCCGTTTGAACTAAAGCTGTTGAATTTTCCATGACTTGACTTGTCTTTCCTTAGAAACCATTTCCTACCAGCATGATAATATCAGTACAGATATTGGTGTTTTTTTTTAAAGAAAAAACAAAACAAAATCCATTTTGAATTTTGGGACCACACCAGAACAAATTAGCTGCTCGCATTAAAAAAAAACATAGTCTTAAGAGCTTAGCAGAGAATAAATCAATGAATATACGTAGTAGTAATTGCTTAGTTAATCTTCCAGGTCAATAGGTAGAGGAGAAAATGAGGGTGGCTGTGACAACACAAATAAGAATCAAAACACAGATCTTGCAGTCAATGACCCTTTATAATCTTGCTTGTTCAGGACTCTTGAGAGAAGATGGACACGTGAACAATGAACTTTTTGTGTACTAAACGGTTTGCTTTAGAGAGCCCCTCAAACATGTTCTGCCACCCACCAGCTTGTGTCACAGCAGGAAATTGATGTAATACATGGGTGTTTGCCAGAAATAAACTTCATTTCGACAAATGGCCTTTTCAGACACAGCTCCCACTCGACCTCCCTCCCTCCTCCGCCTCTTCCTTTCCAACCACCTCTTCTTACCCACTTGGGTAAAAAGGCTTTTCCGGTTGCTTTCAACTATCCAATATATCAGAGCCCTGCTATTTTACTTAAAATCATTTAGGAATTTTTAGTGGAGAGCGACCAAAAGCTTCCGCGGACACGGCAGGCCTGGGAATGTCAACAGCCGAAAGAAACTCAAAACTCAATGGCATGATTATTTTTAGGTCTATGAATGACTAGCTCACATGCGAGCGCCCTGCCTCATTTATATTTCCACCGTTTGAAAGAGTGTTATTGATACAAGCCTATGCGTCGCTTTCATTTTGTTAAAATGCACAGGGGTGGAATGCGATGGAAAATGAAACAGACGCACATTACGACGCCCACCGAGAATCTCAAGCATGCAAACTGCTCAGCGCTTATTTCGGCCGTTCAGGACAAACAACTTCTGAATTTAGCACAGGTTCCCATAATAACAGCATCTGAATAGGAAGAGCATTGGTGATGGACTTAAAATACTCAGTCCTAGACAAAAGGGAGGGGAGGGGAGGAGAAGGGGTCGGCCGGATGTTGAAGTAGCAATTAAATTTGATAATCCTTTGCAAAAATACTTTGTACTTGCAAATGGAAATTATGAAGTGATTTTGTTTTTAAACAATCTTCATTTGGATCGTGCTATTTAGCCAATGGAAATAAATGTTTGTATATTCTAATGTAACCCTTAAGGCCAGGTAAAGGTAAATGTTCCCCTTGCACATATGTGCTAGTTTTCCCGACTCTAGGGGGCGGTGCTCATCTCCATTTCAAAGCCGAAGAGCCAGCACGGTCCGAAGACGTCTCTGTGTCATGTGGCTGGCATGACTAAATGCCAAAGGCCCACGGAATGCTGTTATCTTCCCGTCAAGGGTGATTCCTATTTTTTCTACTTGCATTTTTACATGCTTTCAAACTGCTAGGTTGGCAGAAGCTGGGACAAGTAACGGGAGCTCACTCCATTACACGGCACTAGGGATTCAAACGGCTGAACTGCTGACCTTCTGATCGACAAGCTCAGTGTCTTAGCCACTGAGCCATTCTTTAAGGCCATGTAGCGTCTGTCAAATGTTCTGGATTTTATCCAATTTTCATGACCCTTGATAAAAGACTTGGGATTAGTAAATAAAATATCTAGAGAGCATCAGCATGCCCATACCTGTTTTAAGATAATGATCATGCATTTATCAGCAAGTTGGAATTCCAATAGGATACAGAGGAATTTATTAACAACTGATACCCTTCAGTTGTGAAATTCTTTGCTTTAGGTATTTAAAAAAACAATACTTACCGTATTTTTTGGATTATAAGACGCACCTTTTCCCCCCTAAAAGAGGGTGAAAATTTGGGTGCGTCTTATACACCAAATGTAGCCCCACCCACCCCCTGCCCCCCACCCTTTGGCCTCTGCCTCCCAGCAATTAACCTCTTTGCAGCAAACGGGGCTTGCTTGTGGAGGCTTCACTAAGATATAGCAATCCCTGCAGCCTGTAACAGCTGATGAGCGGGAGAAATTGAAAGTGAAACTAGCTGTTTGCTCCACATGGCAAATTGCTGGGAGTCAGATTTTTTTTATCCTTGTGCTAATCAGGCTGTTTGCTGCAAGGAGGTCAGTCAACAACTATAAATGCCTATAGAATGTTCAAATTATTAGACTTACTTTTTAAAGACTGCTTTATTAGTGTTCTAGACAACTTAACAAAATGAAGAAGCTTTTTAAAATAAATGCTTGATCTGAAGAGGCCCAGCGCTATTGTTTTAAAAAGTGCTATTCTTTTAAATAGCAGAGAATAACTATACTTCCAGAAAGCACATTTTAACAGCATCTGTACAAGTATAGCAATAGCAATAGCAGTTAGACTTATATACCGCTTCATAGGGCTTTCAGCCCTCTCTAAGCGGTTTACAGAGTCAGCATATCGCCCCCACAGTCTGGGTCCTCATTTCACCCACCTCGGAAGGATGGAAGGCTGAGTCAACCTTGAGCCGGTGAGATTAGAACCGCTGAACTGCAGATAACAGTCAGCTGAAGTGGCCTGCTGTACTGCATTTAACCACTGCGCCACCTTGGCTCTCTGAAATATAACACTACAAACAGTGTATAATGTCTGTACTGTTTGTTGCAAGGATGCAAATTGCTGGGAGGCAGATATTTTCCCCTTGTTTCCCTCCCCAAAATCTAGGTGCGTCTTATACTCCGGAGCGTCTTATACTCCGAAAAATAACAGTCTCCTTCAGAGCCAATGCACGTCCCCATTTAAAAAAAAAAGCCAGTTGGGTTGGATAGGAATCCAGACTCAAGAATTAAAAGTAGGCCCTATTATTTGTGGGTTCTGACTAGCCAGAGGCTCGCTAGAGATGCACACAGTTCCTTACCAGCTGAAGCCGTGTTTGTTGGAAGGGGTGTATTTCTCCAAGAGCGCGGTTAATTTCAGGAGGGAATACTTCTGCAGCAAGTTCATCTGTGCAACGGACTGACAGTCGATCTGTAAGGCAACTGAACTTAAGCTGGGTCGATGGGAACTCTGGAAGCTATGCCACCTCATTCTGTGCCTTCAAAAAAGAAAGAGACAACACTGAATGATTGTGAACCACAACAGGTGGGAAGCCAATGCAACTGGGTGGTTTGGAATTGTATCCCAATACAGGTAGTCCTTGACTTATTAAGCTACAACGGCATTGAAAAAGTGACTTATGACCGTTTAACAGTTACGACCTTTGCAGCATCCCCGTGATCATGTGATAAAAATTCAGATGCTTGGCAAGTGGTTCATATTTATGACGGTGGCAGCGTCCCGGGGTCCCCTTTTTGTGACCTTCCGACAAGCAAAGTCAAAGGGGAAGCCAGATTTACTTAACAACCGGGTTACTAACTTATCAATTGCAGCGATTCATTTAACAACCATGGCAAGAAAGGTCGTAAAATGGGGCAAAACTCACTTAACACATGTCTCACTTAGCGAGAGAAATGTTGGGCTCACTTCTGGTCATAAGTCGAGGACTATCTGTATAGACTTGTCTTGTTTCAGAATCTCAGGTTTCTAAGAGTATTAATTTTTGTAATCTATTTGTGCAGAATGTATGGTACTAGAGTGTGTTTGAATTGTCAAATGTTTGAATACTTATTGTAATTACTTTTTGTACTGTAAGAATTTTATCCGGACTGAGCCCATTGAAAGTGTGCATGTTGATAAACCAAATATAGAAAATTTAAATTGGATTGTTTACTTGAGCACAAACATCTGAAGAAAGAATTCATGAATCTTGGATCAAACTTTTCTCAAAGGATTTCGTAATAAAATGACACAGTGGAGGAAGAAAGCTATCTAGACAAACAAACTGGGATAATTTAAGTCACCTTGTGTTCAGTGTTTCTCAGATAATCCATGATACAGAACGTAGAAAAAAAATATTTTGGCATTTAATAACACAATCAGCAATATTAGCCAACTATATCACCATACTTGGAAGATTTAACTATTTTTATTCTATGGAAGGCAATTAAGAATTATTTATCTTATTCTATGGAAGGCAATTAAGAATTATTATTTCTATGGAAGGCAATTAAGAATTATCTGCTCATCTCTTTTTATAGAGTTAAGTTCTATCTTAAATAAAAGGCAATTAATTTCTATATAGCTTCTGCAACATAATTGCCAAGTACAAAAATCTTGTTGTCTAGAAAAAATAACCAGTTTGATTATCTTAGAAAAATCAAATGTAAGAATATATCCTTTATCGAGCCAAAAATATTCTGATGTGAACCATTTCCAACCCAGTGGATGGCTGCTGGCTGCATCTGTAGGTTTTTGTGAATATGCCTACAGTATTTATCTTCTATTTGGAGAACATTAATACTGAAAACTTTTCTTGATGCCTCCAATCACTGCATATTTTAAAATTACGTTTGGAAGGCATCTCCCGCAGAAGAAACAAGGAGGAACAAGCAGATTTCATTGCATTGTTTCAAATTACTCTTTCCCCTGCCTGGTCTGTTTATTTAGTAAATACGAAAGGTATTTTAAATTTACTTTTCATTTCATAAAGTCCTGAAGTTTCCTTCAAAACATCTCGAGAGTTATGCGTGACAGGCTGACCTAAGTTGATTCTTGACCTTGAACTTTTCTACCTTCTGGCATAAAAGGCAGGATAATAACTTTCTCTATGCCCAATGCCCACATTTGATTATAATAAAGTTGAATATTAAAAAATATGTATGCCCATATGAATAAACAAACATGTACTTCACTCTCATGCGTGCTAGTCTTCTTAGACTAAAATCTGCGTCCACTGACCTGTTGGAGCGGGTCAATGATGCCCCCACCCCAGAATCCCTTCTCTCCTGGATTCCTACGGCCTCCTCTGTTTCATTCAGTGAATTCCCCGTGCTGTCCAGATCACTAGGTATGGTCCTGTCGTTGTCCACATCTAGCAGGATTTGCTTGGGAGACGAAGGGCATGGAGAAATGGAGTCCAAAGCTGAATCAGAGTCCCCTTCGTCAGAAAATTTCTCTGACCACTGGTTCACAATTTTCTGCATGCCTTTGACATGATATAGGATGTCGTCGAGTTCAGGAAAGAGGTCCTCGTTCTCCAGATCGGCCAGATTTCCTGTGCTGGAATACAATATGGAACCGGGCACGTTGTCATAAATGCTGAGCCGGCTGCAGACCGAACTGGAGGAGTTGCGTCTCCTTCCTAGGCTCATGTCTTTGGAGCTGTCAGAGCTGTTCTCACGCCGGAGAGAAAGATGCCCGTGTCCATGGAAGCTTCCCGTTCTCCAGTTCACCGGGCTACTCTTTGGTGGAGCAAAATTGCCATTGGAGAGGGCTTTGGGGAACGTTCCAGGTTTGTGGTCTTCAGGGATGAAGAAGACCGTATCTTCCGCAAAGCTGTCCCTGTTTTTAAAGTTCTGTTCCATGACATCATTAAACGTTGATTGGTTGAAAGGATCGAAGCCTTCCAGGTACATCCCCACCCGCTTATTGTAGGCGCCCAGGCTACGTGTCCTTGTGATGGGGCTGGGGGTGCTAACCGCGCTGCTCGTCTCCGACTGGCTGCTGCTACTGCTGGTCTGCGTGGAATTGGAAACGCTTCTTTTGCGGACCATGGGGAAATTGATGTGGTTGCCGTTGAGGGTGGAGATCTCCACGCAATTGAGTTGCTTCAGTTTCTCTTCACCCAGGCCTTCTTGCAAAATCGGACCGCTGATGATCAGGCCAAGCTTGGACGGAGTTTTACCCTTCCCGTGATGGGAGCCTTTGATTTTTAGGCTTTCCATCCTCTTTAGCAGGCTTCTCGTTTTGGATTTGGTGTTCTTCTCGTTGGCTTTCACACTGCCACCAAAACTTGATAACACTTTGGTGGAGGGCAGGCTGCCCTCGTTTTCCACAAGCTTTCCCGAAGAGGTGATGCTAATGACCGAGTTTGTCCTGGTGGTGACTACGTCGCCCTGGGAGGTAGTTGGCTGGCTGTTGTTGCTGCTCATGCTGTGGATGGAAGTTACCTCGGGATGTTCGCTCTGCTCCATCAGCATGCTCTCATGACTGGTTGCATTGCTAAGATGAGCCACTTCCAGGGATGTGGAATTCATATCGAACTTTGGAGGGAAAATGTTAAATTCTTCCAGTCTGGACCACCTTTTGCTCTCTCGCTGGAACATCCACTTTCCACTGATTGCACAAGGCTCATCTTCATCTGAATCTTCACTCTGCAACGAAACAGGGTACCATGAATAAGCTCAATCGTTTGCTAAGGGATTGCAACCGGCACGACTGAGCTAAGTGAGAATATCTAGGAACTGATCTGGCTACAAAATCAGGTATGCATTTGTTCTCGTGGATCCTATACTTTCTTGCAAATCAACTCAGCTAAGAACTAAAGGGATTAATTTAGTTTCACTCCATGAAGCATTACTGCACGTCCATTCCACTCATCGCATCACAAGTCCACCAAGTGGGTGGTTGATTATGTATTTCAGTTTTTTTTCAAAAAAAGTTATCCATGTGGCATTATAGAGGTCACAATGTCACTGACTCTCAGCCCTTTGAGAACAATTTAAAGTGCTGATCATTATCTATCAAACACTAAAGTTCTTAGAATCTGGGTGTGCCTAACCACACAAACCTGCCACAAAATTCTTCCATTCCCATCACCGCTTGAAGCCAGGACTTTCCAGATGGAGAAATATCTGAAATGTCTTTCTAGAAATCTTCATCAGACGCTACCCTCCCCTAAGTGAAATCCAGGTTAACTAATGACTACTGTAATAAGAACCGTGTCCTTGGGGGGGAAAAACATTCAGCTACTGGAACTAAATGCTTCTGCTAAGTATTGACTCAAATAAGGCAATTGGAATGTATCCTGCCGGTTTGTTTGATTTTTATATGTATTTGTTTATTTCTGGTTTCTGACCTAGATACCTTAAGGGGTGGCTGCCTGCTGTCTCTTCTTCCATATAATAATAATTCTCACCTGTCAAGTAATCTGTATACCATGCAGCACAACAACTTATATAAATATACAACCAATCTACTACAACCATATTCAGATCATTTTCAATAGGCTTTTGCCTTCATATTCTGTTCATCATCTGAGCTTTCATACTAGTTTCTTTGATTCATAACTTATTAAATGTCAACAAAGTACTGAGATGAAGGGCAGAGATTCCTATCCTAGGATCCTAACCTTGAGGATTTTAGGTGGTTGGACCAATGTCCGTCCTTCCTTCCTTCCTTCCTTCCTTCCTTCCTTCCTTCCTTCCTTCCTTCCTTCCTTCCT